TTTTTATTTAAATAGCCTGCTAAACTTCTTCTGTAAGTCATAAAAAGCAACTATTTGTATAGGTGTAACTGTGAATGTTCCTCTGGGTCTCTGCCATGGCCACACAGAAAGCTACCCTCAAAAATTATGACACAAAAATCTGTGTAGTACTTCCTGAAGAACTGGTCAGGTATTATTTCAGTGTAAGCCTCTAACCTTTTTGCTGCAGGTATTAATCCTCCAAACAGGTATTTCTCTAATTCTCAGTAATGTGCCTTGGGACACCATTCAGCAAAGTCAGTGACATTGCTTCCTCTTCTTTCTCCCACCAGGCAGCAGGTCAGAGGTTTTACTGTTACTTGTTTGGACGGGACAGAAACTTTCTGGGAGCACATGGGATGTGTGTGGAGGGGAAAGGCTGCTGTTGTATTTACCTTTGAATGGAGGGAGGTAGAGGGATGGCTCAGTGTTTGTTTTTAATCTGGCAACCAAAGCATTTCTGGTTTCCTTCCAATTCCTTGGAAGCTTTGTCTCACACACAAAACTCTCCCTATTGAGCAACAGTTTTGCTCCTTCTCTGGAGCAGGATTACCTTAGGAAGGTCCAGCTGGAGCACAGAGTAACCACAAGGCAAGGAATTACAAATCCAAGATCTGCCAGGGGCTGTTCCATGCTGGAGAGGGTGGCCCTGTGCAGCTGGTGCCAGGCTGTGGCAGGGTGCTGAGCAGGCACCACGTGAGAACTGAACTGAACTGGTGTTGGGAAATCAGGCACCATCCTGGTCAGATTCCAGACCAGCCCCACGTGAGTGGGAACGTTTTTCCCAACTACATCCATGAACGAGTCAGGGAAGCTCCCAGGGGTTTCTCAGTTGATCAGTTTGAGGGGAGAAGCCTTTGAGGGAAGGATTTTCTTACACAGGAGGAAAGTTGTCTGTGCTCTTCTCACTGCAGTGGGGAGCTGCCCCTGCCTTGGCACTGGGAACTCACTCAGAACTGTACCACAGGCACAAGGCTTCACATGCAGCCAGTGGGGGTGGGCTCCAGCTGGAGACAGGCTTGGGGTTTTCACTTTCCTGAAATGCAGGGCCAGAGGAGAATCCTAACAGAGGGGGAATATGGTGGGATAGGGGCCTGGAAGAAGGAGGAAGTCTCAGTCTTGCCCTTACTCTTTCTCTACTGCAGGAACACCTCTATCTTTTGGTGAAGTCCTGCTCACTTTTCTCCACCCTTTCAGTGAGGTCAGTGGAGCTGAGGAATGTGTACATGAATTCTAGGAGGGAGAAAATCACCCCTTTCCCCTACACAGGTATAGCCCTACACTGTTCTAAGACTTAACTGCACCCTATGGTAGCATGATAATTTAATGAAAGATTAAGCAGTTTCTTGTGTTGTTGGTACTCCTCCCCAGTCTGTCTGTCTGCTGTCAGCTTCTGAGAGGCTGCCTGCAGTTCAGATTTCTTGTCTTCAAGGGCTGTAGAGCTATAGTCATTCCCCTAGGATGTGATCCTGGTATTTTACCACCGAGCAATCCTCGAGAAGCCATCAGGAACAAGCTGGCAGCTGGTCAAGCTTTGCTTTCAGAGAGAGTTCTGCCAACACAGGCCAACGCCTCACAGATGATTTTGGTGTCTGCCCCCAAACTCCAGGGAAGATTGGCTGGTGGGTGAGGGAAGAAGAAAAGTTGAGGGGCTGTAGATTTTGGTCATATGATGAACCTCTGCCTCTTTCTTCACTGCACTCAGCTTCTGGCAGGGATGTAGCAGCAAGGGCTCTGGGCTGTGCCTCTGTTGAGGCACATCAGCTGTCAGGACTGAGGAACACACACCCTTACACAGCTTTTTTGTATAATCACTCATAATCTCTAATCCTGTACCAGTCCTATTGATAAATCAACATGTGCAAGGTCTTGAGTTGCTCTGCACTACAAAATGCTGTGCAAAGATAATCTTAGGTTAGATTTGTAGCTTAGTAGCTCTCCCAGTTCTCATATAGCAGGAAAAAGAAAGATGAAATTGCCCTCTTGAGCCATGTGTCTGCATTCCAGGCATATCCCAGCCTCCCACAGGCTCCCTGAGAGCTGTGGGTGAGCAAGAAGATGGGAGCTGAGCAGCAGTGAGTCTGTGTCAGACTCAGGATGGATGTTTGCAGTTTCCAGTTCCCTGTTGTGTATGGTGAGCTGCATGGTTTCTGATTTAAAATTTGTAAGAATGTACTATGGCCATGAGAAAGTGAAATGATGCCAGTAATTCCATCAATCTCACTTGCTTTTACAGTGCACTGAAAAAATGAAACTTTTTCTGACTAGAAGTTCTAAGAATTCTTTCATTCAGAAACATTATGAAAAGTTGGTTGGGTTTTTTGGTTTTTTTTTTGGGGGGGGTTCTTTGTTTGTTTTTTGTTTACTACAATTAATTTTTTCTGATACATTTTACTTCTAAATGAAGGTAAATGTTTGGGGTTTTTTTTTACTAGATCAAGGCATTTCATTACTTCTTTAGCAGTGCTAAACCCAAGATTTTTAATTCTATTGGACTAAAAGAAAGATTAACATTGAATTCTTTGAAGTCAAATCAAAATACTTCTGTTGAGAACAGACACAAAATAAATGTTGCTGAAGACCCTTACACTACACTACCAAGTTACTGCTCTTTTGGAGAATTGTTCTGTGGGTGAATTTCCAGCCAGACCTAACAGCAATTAAAAGAACGAGTCTGGTGGACTTTTCCCATCATTCCTAAGACTCTGTGGCAAATATTTTTCACAGGAACTTAGAATTAGAGGTATCTAATGAGAAGTGCCACAGCTTTTCATAGCAACATGGTAGAAACAAACAAAGTTATGAAACAAATAGAACATTCAGAGTACTTAGTTTGGCAACTGCCAATTATTTTTAGAGTAGTTTCTGAGCTCATCCTTGAAACCTGCTGTGGGCATGGCATTACTGTGAGCTTCCTTGCTGGAAGGGCAGATGATTGGTTTCTCCTCTGCAAGTGCCTTGGATCCAGCCATGTGCCTGTAGGGCAAGGGAGATTGTTTTGGTATTCCCCGTGGGAAATGCTCAGACTGTCTTTTCCTAGCGGTGATGAAATCCTGAGACTGCAGTGCCAATTCTGTTTGCAGCTTTCTGATGTGTGCTTTTGTTTGCCTTTCCCTGGCCTTGAAGTAATTTCCACCGAATCAGGTCAGTTTATTACTACAGTGGGGCAATCCAGTTCTCAAGAGAATAATAAATGGTTCTGACCTGACAGTTATTTCCAGTCTTTTCCTTCTTCCTTTCCCAGAATCCCTCCCCTTGCTCACTCCCCTAACTTCACAATCTGTGATAGTCTGTGATAACCTTTAGAAGTATTTCCTTGCCAAAAGCCAAACCAAATGCTCCCTACCAGTTAATATCAATGCAGAACTGCAAATAGTGAGTAGTGACCTTCAGTTTTGTGTAAACTGCTTTCTGCTTAAGACTGTGTACATGGTTGCATACAAAATTCTTCATCAAATATGATTCCCTACCAGATTTCTAATCTAATTAACCAGTTCTTTGGAAGGACATGGCATTTTACACAAGGCAGATTGAAATAAGATCTGAGTTCAGAGCTCTGGTTCTGAATTTGTCTGGTGGCTTCACTTCTGAGCTTGACCTTGTTTCCTAGTTTTGTTCAGATAAACCAGCCTTTCTATAACATTTCATCTCTTTAAAGAATGAGGAAGCTTATGTTTCTTCTATGTGCAGTCCCAAGAAGAGTTTTGAAGTTCTGACAGCCATCCTAATGAATCTAGGTATTTGCTGGAGCTCTCAAGGTGATAGAGGAGCATTGTACACAAGCAATGGTCTTTCAGATGATGTTCAAAGTATGGAAATACTTTGTATTAATAATGAGTACAAAATGTCTTCCCAACATACAAATCATTACACCATCTTTGCATGAGGAGCAAATACTCAGTGGCAAGGTACACTTCAGTCTGAGAGCTGAAATATGGACAGAGATCACTGTAATCAGCAGCCAAAAGATCTCTGTACATGTAAGACCTAGGCAGAAGCGTGGATATTGCATCACACAATGAAGGGTTTTAACTTGTGTTTTGCACAATATCTAAGAGTTTTCACAAATTGTAAATCCTTGCTTGAACAAATTGTTCATTGTCTAGTGTCCATGTCCACTCCCATTTCCTACTTTAGATTACTGTGACTTCAGCCCAAGTGAAATATCATTCTGAAGTTTTACTAAATCTTTAGAATTTTCATCTGTCTTACATTTAATACATTTTACAAATAATATGAAGCAGTGACTTATATTAGAACAAAATATTAAAATATTTATTATAATATATATAAAATATATATTAGTATTAGAAGAAAATATTGAAATTGAAGTTACTAGGAGCAGATGGAGCCTTTACCAATTAAGCTGGTCAAAATGCACAGGGAGTTTTACCTGGCTTATTGGGCTGACCTCCATGTACCTTTTGTTATAGACAGGCACTTCTGTCTCAGAGGTTTCTATACTGTGGTGTTGGCTTCAAAGATTATCCCAGTCAGAAAGCCTAGACCTTAAGAATCATATGGAATAAAATCTGGGAGGGTTATAATTAACAATGAAGGTAATGACTAAAATTGACAGCAATGAAAGCTTCCTGATTAAGAATGCTGTAGCAGCTTATACAAGACATTTCTTTTTGTTTACACATTCTTTCAACAGTGTCTGTGTGTGATCTCATAAGGTTTTCATACTGCTTCAAACAAACTTTCTTTGTATTGCCGTTGCCATTTGAATTCATGTACTGTTATCTCTCTTATAGGCTCATACAGCACCAACAAAACCAATACCAGAAGCAGAAACAGAACTTGAAGAACCCAAACTCCTGCAGCTGATATTGCTACATGTAGTGAGAGAAGATTGAGGTGCTAACCTTGACCTGAATGCCAAGGTGATGGTGATGAAAGATGGTACAAGAATGGGTGCCCCTCCCAGAGGAGCTGGCTGAGCTCTGCTGACAGCCCCACGGCCTCTGTGCTCCTGCTGCCCAACTTCTGCAGCACTACAAGCACAGAGGGACTGAGGTGGGCTGCAGTAGCACACCTGAAGAGTAGGATGGGGCAGCTGCTGTAGGAGAGGACCCTGTGTGTACTTTTTGCCAGGAGATATGTGTTGGTTGCTTATAAAAGAATAATAAGTGAGCTTTGTGCTGCTCTGGCAAGGGAAGTGCATTTTGTCTGTCTCAGTGTATCTGTAACCTAACGTTGTTTTGATTTTGATACTTTGGAAGATGATGGTTCACATTCAATTCTTGATTCTCTGTTAGTCATGGCCTTGTGCTCACTTTCCTTCCAGGGATGCCTGCCATGGCCACGAGCTCTGTCTGGTGTGAGCAGTGTTTTGCTCACACGCTTTGTTTGCCTCCAGGTTTCCAGGTCAGTGTTCAGGACAATGCAGAAACACATGCACAGAAAGTTTTTATCTATGCAAATAAAGAGAGAGGGGTGACTGCTTCATGAGCGGGATAACAGTGTTTAATGCTGAATTTCCTCCAACAGGTGCCAATTCCTCAGCACTCACAGGCAGCAGCTGCTGGGCACTCACTGCCAAAGCAGCCAAATCCAGGCACCTGTAAATGAAAAATAGTAGCCCTGTGATGTGTTTGTTCCAAACCATGTGACCTCCAAAATCCTTTATGTTCAGTATGATTTTAGGCATGTTATTTTTAATATAGAGCCTCTTTCTAGCATCAGTATTTAAGCTAATATTGTAGGCCAGTCACTTACAAAAACAAATATGTTTTAATTGTGGTAAGTCCTAGGGACAGATCGGGTCATGGCAAGGGCAGTAGGTGAAGGAGAGACCAAAACAAAGTGAAAAATTGTTGAACCCCGCTGCTGGCACTTGTGGAAGAACACTGCATGTCTTTAAGGCCGTGCTCATTGGGAAGAGGAGGCTGCTGGAGGCAACACAAGCTGTAGAACACAAATACTTGTATTAAGCAATACAGGAGCTTCCTCTTATTTGAAGAGAAGGAAATTGGAAGAAAGATATACCCAAGCAACAGGTGAAGTCCCATGTTGCCTAAGTCAACAGAATCCTACCCTGTATGTGTGTGGTTTCCATAAATGCACAGTGTTTTCTAGGCTAAAGGAAAGTTAGGGAGTTTGTTATTTATTTCTCTTCAATCTTCAGAAAATACCAATCAGATGCTGTTTGAAAAAATGAAGTTGCTATTTCTTGCAGCTCTTTCAGCATGTTCCTGTTGACTCTGGACATTTAACTTCAGGCAGTTGGCAGAGAGACAGCTGCAGAAAAATAATCAAGTTGTTAATGATGCTCATAATGTCAAAATTTTCTTTATTTGTGGGATTGTCTGCCTAGAGTCTTCTGAGCAGAATCCAAAATGAAAACTGCCTGATTTTGAGTCTTGCAGACTTGGAATGCTGATACAAGCTTCCAGTTACATAAACAAAGTTAAATCTAAATCTCAGCCCTGTAATCTCTTTTGACCCAAATTTAACCATGAGCCTTTTGCCCGTTTTTGAAGAAAAGTTCAGCTAAGAATGAATACAACTGAGCTACAGAGAGCTAACAGCAAGTTTGTACTGGAGTGCTAAATGCACACAAAATGAGCTGTGAGGGACATATACACTTCCACATTTATTTCTACTTTACCCTTGCCCTGGTGAGGTTATGTCTCTGAACAGATGAAATAATGACCTCCTGCAGTAATTGTAGTTGTTGTTATGACACTGTTCTTTGTTGCAGAAAGATGTCCCATGGCATCATGCTCAGTATATAGAGGAAAGCAAGGAAGAGGAAGGAGAGGACATCTGGAGTGATGGAGTTTGTCTTCCCAGGTCACTGTTACGTGTGATGGGGCCCTGCTCTCCTGGATGTGGCTGAACTCCTGCCTGTCCATTAGAAACAGTGAATTAATTCCTTGTTTTGCTTTGCTTGTGTGCATGGCTTTTGCTTTCCCTGTTAAACTGTCTTTTTCTCAACCCCTGAGTTTTCTACCTTTTACCCTTCCAGCTCTCTCCTTGATCCTGCTGGTAAGGACTGACTTGACTGGTCTGTGGTACTTGGCTGCTGGCTGGGGTTAAACCACAATACAACCAGAGCTACAGGAGAGGCTTAAGTAGACAAAACAAGAGCCAAGAGCTGCCTCTTGTGCCAGGGATGGGGAGAGAGCCAGCCTGATCCCCAGCTGTGATTTTACTGGAAGTGGGAATTGCAGTAAATCCCTGCAGTTCACAACACAACACATTCCTCCTGACAGAGCTCCAGGCTTCCCCTCCTTGTGGTGTCAGACTAAATCTTGTTTTCAGCTTTTTGTTTCAAAGGCTGGGCCAGCCCCATGCTGTGAGTGTGTTTCACAACTGACCTGGTCTCCAGACCTTTGTGAGGTGACAGTGTTACCTACTTTCTTGAACTTTTCAATGTTTGGCCTTTACTCTGCGACTGGTGCAGGTGGAACATGCACTAATCCATTTATGCCTCTTCCTACTCCCAAGTCGGTGGGAGGAGAGGGTTTGATAAAGGCTTTCAGTAAATTCCTTTTGGGTAAAACAGAGAAGGGAAGGTTATCTTGGGTCATCTTTCTGTCTAAACTCCAACCCCTTCTATGTAAATAAATTACCTTCCTCAATGCCAGACCAAGTAACTTTAAGGAAAGTTTAAAAAAATAAACCTCACACCTTTGAAACAAACCAGCCAGAAAACAGAAACAGAGCCAGACAATTCAGAGTATCTGGGAGTTGCCTCTTTACACAGTTAAAGCTGTTAAAGCCTCCTACATTTACCCCTAGCAGGGTGTGTTTTTGGGACTCTGTGAGCGAAGTGGGGCTGCTGCATTTAGGACCACACCTGCCTGTTTGTGGTCCCTCTTGTTACATGGAATGGTAAGCAAGACAAAACAGACCTTTGTGGCATCTTGAAATGGCCAATCCTAACCAGGCATCCCTGCTCCTCAGGCCTTTCTGAGTATTTCAGCTCGTGAGAACTGCACTGGGGGTTTGGGTTGATGGCAAGCTGAATATGCCAGCCACGTCCTGTGGTGCATCAACCCCAGCATCAGCAGCTGTCTGAGGGAGGGGATTGTCCTGCTCTGCTCTGTGCTGGTGCAGCCCCACCTTGAGTCCCATGTGCAGTTTTGATGCTTCTTTGTCAGAGGAACATCAAATTATATAGAGCATGTCCAAAGGAGGGAACCAAGACGGTGAAAAGTCTCAAGGGCAGGAGGAGTGTCTGAGGTCACCTGGTTTGTTCAGCTCGGAGGAGAGAAGGCTGAGGGACTCACCAGAGTGCACAGGTTCATCAGGGAGTGCAGTGGAGGGGGGGCTGCTGATCTCCTCTCTCTGGTGACCGGCAAAGTATGGGGAAATGGGATGAAGCTGTGTTAGGGGAAGTTCAGATTAGATATTAGGAGAGGGAACCTTCACTTGGAAGAGTGGCTGGTCACTGGAACAGGCTCCACAGTGGGATGTGGTCATGGCACAAGCCTGTCACAGTTCAAGGAGTGTCTGGAGAACAGTCTTGGTCATATGGGATAACTTTAGATAGTCCTGTGAGGAGCAGGGAGTTGGACTCAGTCTTTACAGGTCCCTTCCAACTTGAGATATCCTGTAATTCCACGATTCCTTTAGCTCAGCAGAGACTTGCAGCAAGGAGGCTTTTATGTTTTCCTCTGTTCAGGACTTGCTGACAGAGTCAGAGTTTAAAAGAACAAAGCTGCAATTACAAAAAATTGCAACCTAAAAGATTTGGCTTAGCTTGGCAGGAGGTAACTGCAATATTCAAAGCAATTAATGTATCTTCATAGGGTCCATTTAGCAGGCTTTGTGAAAATAGACACAGTGAAATGGAACCAAAGCTGACCTGGCAACTTCCATGGGGACCCACTGTGTCCCATTTAGGAAATGAAAGGAATTTTATGTAGCCTTTTGGAATCTGATTTTCTACCTGGTCTATGATTAACACTCTTTGCTCATACAGAATCCTGTGACCTGAATATACTGCAAATGAAAAAGAAAATGGCTACATCTCCTAGGCACCTACCTGACAGATGATGGTATAGTTTAAGAAAGAATTAGAACAAGCCTGACATTTCTTTTGTGGTCTACATAGTCTAATCCAGAGAAAATGTAGTAGGCACAGAAACATTAAATTAATTTTTTCAAAACAGAATCTAAGGAATAGAATTCAGTGGAAGAAAATAAAATGCTAACAGAAGGAAATTGGTGATAATTTCTCATTTTGAATAAATACAAGTATAAAATAATCACATTCTTTTACAAAAGGTGTAAACACCCTTTGACTACTAGCTTAAGCAAACTATGAGTCCATTGCTATCCAACTTACCTATAAAACAAGAGGGAGAAGTTTATCTGAAAAGGAAGTTTTCTTCACTGAGTGAGGCTCTACCTCTGATGGCATCCAAGTGTTTTGTCATAAAAAGAGTGGAAGTGGGACAAGAAGAATAAAATATTTAGAAAGATGTTTTGCTGTGGATTGCTCCACATGATTTTTAGGCATTTTATCTAGATGCTGACTTTGTCCAACTGACACAACTAAACTGGTGTACATGGGAGCTTGTTCCAGTACTCAAACATTGCCATTGAACAAATAATAATAAATTCTCAATTCCTGGCTCTGCATTTGCCCCTCAGCACAGCCAAGAGCCATCACTCCCAGCACGGTGTGCAGGTGCTGTGGAGAGCACATTCATCAGGCTCCACTGCAAGGTGTTTCAAACTGCCTCTCCAAAAAGGTCCCAGATCATTGCTGGGGTTTGAAAACTTGGCCAAGGAGAAGGAGGAAGAGACTGCTCCTGTCATCAGCAAAACCAGCCCTGTGGGTTTCAGTCCTCTTAACACATCTTGGTTTCTTCAGCAGCTGTAAACACAAGTGAGCCTCCTATAGAAAACAGTTGTCATGGAGCTTCTGGAAGAGGAAGAAGTAGGTATTTTTAGAAAGAGCTTGGAGGTCACCTGAGTGTCTTTGACCAACGTGGCCAACACAGACTCCAAGGCTCATCTCAACTTTGCTTGTACACAGACTAAGCTCTGCATCTCATCCAGAGGGGTGAGGAATGGAGATAATAATCAACAAGTTGTGCTTGCTATCCCTCTTCCACAATCAAGCTTGAACTTTGTCTCTTTCTCACCATCCTGATGTGAAATTGGAATTTCTGTTGTGATTGCATGTGGCTTAGGTTTTGTGTATGTTGGTTAAAGTGTGTCTGGATTACATATCAGTCGGTCCAAAGTGGAAAAAACAAGAGCAGATGCAAAGGCACTTCTTGAAGAGAAAAGGAAATAGCCAACACACACCTCCCCCACACTTTATCTTCTTCATTTGCAAATTCTTCTTCATTCAGACACAAAAAAAGTATGGGCAAAAACATTAGACCTCAGTAACAGTGAGAAATCAGGTATTGTGACCTGATAAACAAGACTTAGAAATTTATTTAAACCCAGTGAGGATAGATACAGCCAATTGACTCAGAGAGTTGCAGAAAGACAACTGGAGGGTTTGCATGACATCACAGTGTTATTACCTCATTATTGTAAAGTTTCACAGCATCATCACAACACTTGTGTGAGTGATGAATCTACAATATTGTTTAAGCACAGGATACATGACAGTGGAGCAATAGCAGCTGTGATTTCTTGTTCTACTGCCTCTCTCAAGTCTTCAGTTTCCCATGTCATCTCAAATGTCATCTCAGCAGAAGAGCTGAGGGGGGAAAATGGTCTTTACTGGGGTAGTTGTTTTATTTTCCTCAGAACAAAAGTGTATTCTCTTTTCCTGGCATTAGTTGGGCAAGAATTTCTGTTTTGTGGGACATGAGGAGATGACCTATGTACTGCCTTCTACCTGCTGAGCCTGTGAAGTGCCATAATATATCCAAACTGCATCTCTGGGCTTCAGAAAGATGAATGCCTTTTTTCTGCCTTTTCCTGTTAAATTGCTTCTTTATGACTGTCAAAGCCCTGTTTTAATTTTTTTCTGTAACTTTAAATGTTAGGGTGTTAGGAGCTTTTTTGTTTTATTTCACTATTTTTTCTTTCCCCTATCTCAAGCAGGCTTTTGCTTTGGTATTGATTTTTTAAGTATGAAAGTTTTCTCTCAATTTCTCTCTTTCAGGAATCTCATCTGCAGTACTACAGGTTCAGTAAAATAGATCTCAGGCTTTTCAGCAGAAATGTTTGTTGTGACAATATTAAAACAGGCCACCTCTGATTGCCTCTGCTCACTCTGAGATGAGGATAAGCTATTTCTTCTGGCTCTCTTCTGAAGGTAAAAATAGTTTCACTGTAAAACAAAACCTGACTGCTTGCTTCAGCCTAGATTTCCATCCTCTTTACTTAATTTCATATAAAAAAGGCAAAAACATGTTTACCTGGTAGGCAGGAGTCTGGACTAGAGGTACTTTCCTGCCTGAGTTGTTCTGTTTCTGACCCTGTTGTAATATAAATGGTCATGTTTAGTTGAAAGAAAAAAAAATAAAGGTAATCACAACTAAATTTAAAAGACATTTTGCAAATAAAAGTTAGAAGATTTTGTTACAGTATTTTTCCCTTTTACATTTTCTTTCAATGCCTGAGTGTTTTGTTGAATTTGAGATGAGTTAGTTCTTTGGAAAGTCAGTTCTATTGAGCTTGCCATTTATAAAAAGACATCTCACCTCCAGTGACTTCCTCCTAGGTACTATTCTCATTATAAAACAGACTACTATGATCTAATCCTTTGCAAATATAGTTGTTTGTTTTGTTTCCAGTGGGAAACTACCTTCAAACAGTAAGCAAAGAAACACCTTAATAAATAAATGTATTAAGTTGATAAAGACTTTAGATTTACTGGTTCTAGTTTATCACCCTTCTAGGATCAACAGCTTTTCAAATGGCTTGAGAATGTGCCTCTTCTGTTTGGATTCTCATGTAAACAGGATGCTTAGGTTGTCTTCAAAGCCTGCATCCTTGCCCTCCCTGCTCTTTGTCCCTGCCTGTGGTTACCCGTGTTCAAAGGAGCTTAATCCAGACTGGAAGATGTGCAGAGAAGGGATATCAGAATGACCAGAGGAACTGAGATGTGACTAGAGGAATTTGGTGTATTTACCTTAGAAAATCCAGAGTGAGAAGAGGTATGACAGGTCCCAGTAGAAAAGGGCAAAAAGGGAAGACAGGAGGTAAGGAAAAGAAAGTTAAATAAGGACAAGTACAATTGTTAAAGGTACCTTTTGTCTTCAGAGGTGTCAGATTGTGGAATTTCTCTATATGGAGTAGCAGGCGGAAAACCTTAACAGGTTAAATTGAGGTTTGATCATTATGAGAGGAGTGGAATGACTCTACTGTCCACAGAATATTGGCTTGTACAACCTAGATCTGCCTGTCTCTTAACTCCTGCTTTGTGCCTTCTCACACCACAGTGACCCTTCCTACTAAAGAAGCTGACTAGGATAAACCCTTGCAGATCATCCACTCTTAATAATTTTTTATAGAAACATTTACTTCTTTTTTCCTGACCCTGTAATAGGAATGTTTGATACTTTCTTTTGGTAAAGAAGAACCAGGTGCCAAGTTGGCAAATATCCTTTCTATTTTGGAGCAAAGCTATCAAATTAGCCATTTGCAGTCTGTTTTATCATCTGTGACCTCAGTGTGCCTGTGAATCTCCTGACCTTGCTCAGAGTGCCATGTGGTGATTGCGTTCTTGTGTTTGCAATCATTATCTTTCTAAACGAAAGGCCTAAAACAAGTGTCCATGTCCTTAAATATTGTGCTTAAAATATTCAAACTAGTAGAGATGTTATCTGGCCTTGATTTAGGCAAATAAGGAAGGACCTGACCTCAATCTTTATATAAACAGCCAGCAGCATAGCAGTAAATCTATTTGCTAGCGTGGCAGATGGAAATATTCTCTAGGTTTCAGTTTCTTCTCCACCATCCACATCCACTTCATCAGCCAATGTGTGCCCATGGAGAAAACATTCATCATCAAGTGAACCCTGGAAAACCTTAGGAAACAGTCAAGATAAATGTAACAGGATTTCTGATGGAACTCGTATCACTAGTAGTCTTTTAGTCTTTGATGTGAAAATATTTCTTTTACAGCACCATCAACCTCCTTGTAACCTTGTTGAAGTTAACAAATAAAAATATCTATTTATTTAGCATTTCAGGGATATATACCCAGAGTAAGTGCCAAGTGCATGAAATTTGAATACAAAGGAAAGAAATGTGATGTCTTCTTGGCTAAGCAGGGGAGTAAACACAGCTCTCTTGTCTGGCTTTACTTTCTACCACGATGTTTCCTCCCCTGCTTCAACACTCACTTCACTAGGAAGGACACTAAAAGGAAGGACAAAAAGCTGTGTAATTTAGCCTGTAAAGCCACACTGAATATGGGCAAAAACCAAGACATGGGAAGCATTGAAACATCAGAAAAGGAAAGCAGCCAGCATTAAGCCCTTGGTGGAAGGACTTGTGTCCATGTGTTGCCCTTTTTATTTCCAGTGCCTAGGTTAGTACCAGTGTCATCTTAACGCTGCAGAAATACCTGGGGCCATTCCTCAGTGCCCCTGTAAAGAAGGCAACTATGATTTATACCCTAGGAAAATTCAGATTCAGGCAAATTTTGTTCTGTTTCCATGCACGTGTATCAGAATAGAGGTGATCAAGTTCAGTGTTGAACAATTCCTTCTAAATGGAACTATGTTCCAACATCAACATTCACTTTCCAGGGAGCAAATGAAAAAATAACAACAGCAAAGGAACCCCTCATTTCAAAGTGAAAGCAAATTTTCATGTAACTAACAAAGCCCTATCTCACAGCAGTGTTTTGTAACCACAGAATCTTGTATAAGCAAGGTTGGCATTTCTTCCACAAGCTGGACACTTGTTGGTACCAAAAGCGCCACTGGGAACAATTCTGCAAATTCACCTTTTGGTTAATATCTACCACCAGAAAGTCCTAAATTAAATGCTACCTTGAAATATGTGTACAAGGAAGTGGTATGTGCTTAGTTAATGAAATTCTGCAAAGTGATGATCAATAAACATAGAATCTTATGCTTTGGACATCAACCATCAATTTTTAAATGAAGATGAACACCCAAAAATTATTGTTTCAAATTTTCTCCATACTGCAGGAGCTCTGGAATGATTGTACTAAGCCTTGAATTATCAACTTAGAAATGCATGGGACTGGGTGGAATAATGGAGGGAAGTTTCCTGGGACTTTTTCCAGGTGCTCCACTGTACAACTGGGAAAATTATCATGTTATGTGATGTCAGTAGGACAGGATCTGCTTTGACTAAATCATCTAATCATATTACTTGATTAAATTCTTTTATCAAGGCGGGTCCTTTCTATTCAGTAGCCTGAAAATATAATGTGTTTTAACTTCCTACCTCAGGCTGCTAAAACAGGGCAAATACTCCTGTGTGTACTGGTGTGGGAGGTATGGCTGCAAAGTGTGTATCTGGAAATGCAAACAAATACAATCTCTGTGCAATTTTCTTGGGTTTGAAGTAGCCGTTCTGCGTTCTGCGTAAACTCTTGCTACTATTTTTAATTTCTTACTTGGTACCACGACTCAGCAATAAATCTTTAGGGCATTTTTATATAGTCCTGAAAGCAGTTGCATTTGCTCTGTTCTGTGTGGAACAGTCCTGGAGATTTGCCAGCACAGACAGAAAATCTGGTTCTCTCATTCAGCTTTTGCAACTCTTCATAAAAAACCAAGACCAAACCAACAGAGAGAAGGTCAGCTTTTGAGGAAAAGAAACAGGGCATTGTACTGCCATCACACCCAGAGTGTCATCACAAACCAGAGCATTTCTCACAGCCAGTCTCCTCCATCACAGTTTATAGGTAACTTTCCAGGGACTGCTCCATCCACTGTTTTCAGCAGTCTCTCTGACTTGTCCTGGTGTTCCCTGCCAAGTGCATAAACACAGGTTCTTGTGTCTTGCTTCACCTCATGGGAAGGACGTCAGTGCACTTCTTTACTTTGCCTTCCTGCACTCCTGTTCAAACTTTACTCCCTTGTTTACCAGTCAAGGAGAAGTTTGTAATGAGAAGTGCGGGAGATTATAGGATCGCCAGACCAAGATTATGCAAAGAAACTCATGACTGTATAAACGTGTGCAAAGCTTCACAATCCAAAGGTGTCCAGATGAGTGCCAAATGTCAATATGCCAGATATCAGCCTTTATATAATTGCCCCAGCTTTAAGGAAAAAACACATGTTTTAATAATACGTTTTTTCATTGGAACATTAAAAACAGCCACAGAAAATGCAGATCCTTCAAGAATAATAAAAATAAGTGTAAAACTTCATACACTACTCTTCAGCTTTCAGGAAAGTGGAGTGTAGTTTTGTTACCCTCTGGAATAAAATGTTTGTAGGAGTGGGCACCCTTTGCACTACAGAGCAGCTGTAACCTAGTGGAAGCAGGTTGCTGGCATTGGTTATACTAATGATTTTAGCAATTCACCTTTCAGGGGTACAGCTGCACTGAGACCTCACATCAGGTCAGTACTCAGCCACTTACCTTTCTATACTGAGACTCCTTGAAGTCTGATAGAGACTTCAGCCCTACCCCCAAATAAATTACCAGTCCAAAGGGGCAATTAGATGGAACAGTAATCCAAAACTGTAATCCTAGAAGATTCATGCTGAGATGATGCCTGACACGTTTAATATCTGTGGGCCCTGACTTAGGCACAGGAAGTCAGGCAAAGTCCTGGAAATCCTCAGCGTTGGGAGTTCTGAGAGGCTTGGTTAAATCAGTGTTTCATTAGAAAATGGCATCTCTTTGGCTGCTGGGTCAGCTGAGAGTGTGCTGAGAGGATCCACCCCAGAGCAGGTGTTGCCACTGCTGCCTCGCTAATGGCAGGGCCATGGGAAACAGGGAGTTGCCTTCACATCCCTTCTACCCAGCCCTTCTCTGGGCTTTTGGGGCCAGATATGGCTGTTCCTGATACTGCAGGGGAAAAGGATGGTCTGGGCTGTGAGGATGGGCTGCTTAGGAGAGCCTGAGCCACAGGGAGAGAGCCTGAGGGCCTGGAATGGAATGCCAGGGGAGTCACCAGATTTGTGGCAAGCAGGGTGAGTGTTGTGGATAGCAAAATTACTTACGGTGTTTTTTGTTAAAACTTTTTTTTCCCCAGGCAGTTATGGAGTATTTTGGGGTGGTCAGCTTTCTAACCTGCTTAAGGGGAATACAAATGGACTCCCTGATTTTAGAGGGGAGGAGGTCCTGTGGTGGAGCTAAAGAAATTACGGTGTCTGGTGCTTGTGACCACTGCAGTCCTCATGCCCTCTGCTAAACTTGTGCTATGTTAAATACTTGAGCCTATTAAATTCTGACTATATGAAATACTATATTGACTATATTAAATACTTGGTACCTCTGCTACCATCCTTGAAACAAGGTAAAAGGACTAGTTTCTTTTAGAAAGGATTTCTAAGTCTAATGATGAAAAGAATTGTAGGAGATCTCGATAGCAGAAGGAAGAATATTAACACCTCTAGTATTTAAATAAATATTACTTAAATGCCTTTTTTTCCCCCCAAATTGTGAAATTTTACAAATTTCTAAATTTTACAAATTGTGAAAATGCTCAGCTAAGTAATTGTTCTAGTGTCCCTGCAAATCTTACTTTTTCGTTTTGGGCTCAGAATCGCGTTATTGCAACAGGTGACTTTATGGGATTGCTACTTGCTGTGAGATTGTTTTTCTTTACGTGAGAAGCCCCACTGACTTGGATGAGCTCCTTCTAAGAGTAATTGTTAACCTGCAGGAACAGGTATCACACAGAGGAAAGTGTTGATGGAGGTATTTCCATTCCAAAGATATCAGGCAGGACTAACAACCTGGCTTTTGTCCTTTTGTGAAGGAGGACAATCACAAAGATAATTCTCTTGGCTATCACATAGCAAGACTGCATGTCAATATGTAAAATTACCTCAAGGAAAGGACTGAGCTGAAAGGTCTTCTTTTTGCTGTGTGATAGCCAAGCTTCTCAAGAATATGCACTTATGTTATCTTCTGTGAAAAGCTTTTTTTTTAGCAAGTAGCAAGAAAGTATAGAACTGGGGGGTTGGGAAAGAAAAACTACCTACCAGCATCTCTTGGCTGTGCTGAATGCCAGAAATATTGGTACTTGGTGCTGGGGAAGAATTTAAAAATGTAACTGCTAATGAGATCGATGAACTCAGTACAGCATATTTGAAAATTACTACTGTACTCACTCCTAGGCTTTATTTTACTCAATTAAAAATGACTCTTTAGTTTCTACTGGCCCCACCTCTGAAATATTTCCTAATAGGAAAGTCATTACATTCTGACACCTATGTGCTCCCTGATCATTAAGTTTTGATAATTGCATGCTCCCAGTTTTTCATTTTCCCATACTTTATCTCTTCCCTTTTCCTCGTTGTATCTGTTGTTACGTCTTCCATCATGCGATACCCGAGGTTTTGTGTTTACACCGTGTTTCAGTTGCTCAAAGACAAGTTGAACGTGTTTGGAACCTGCCTCTAGGATGGTCAGGGAGGGGGCAGGTAGAGTGACACCTGCCTGATGCATCTTGGAAAGGCCTGGGTGTTTGTTTGGCACGAGGCTGCAATGATCCCCGGGGAACTGAGATGCTCTGTACCAAAAAGGGAAGCAGAACTGGGGGAATTAGGAGCCCTGGGCCACAAATGCTGTTGTTCACTGTGCCTTGATAACGCTATTGCAGGTCTGGATTTCAGCAGAGATTTTCAGATGGTTGTGTGATTTGAACATCTTTGACCTCTATCACCATTTAGTCCTCTCTTTGTTGCTTTTCTCCTTATTCTATATGGAGCTTAGTGTTTGAGAACAACCATTTCTTCCTGTATGGCAACTTCAGTAATCTCTGGCAGATTAATGAGCTCTCAGGGACTGGACAGAGACAGTGCTACAAGAAAGACCACGTTATCCTGGAGTTTTAGTCAGAGGGTGAAGAGATTGAGGAGCAATTCCAATTCTTGAATAAAATCAACTAAAGTGGAGATTAGTGTACCATAGATGCAGAACTATCCATCTTGCTAAGAGTCATGAAAACACCTTTATTAATTTTGTGGATGGAGACCTATGGCTTCTTCTTGAGTGGATGGAACAGCAAAATCTTCCAGGCAAAGTGCAGAACCTTTCAGCTCTTATTCATATATTTAATTTCTGCCTTGTAAGTTTTCCTACATGCATATGTAAAACTTCCCCATCGCTAACTTGATTACTGCATATAATAATAATTTGCAGGCTTCAACCTGCTGAAAAGGCCTGAAGGCAAATTTGCTTTCCATATAGTTTCAAGTCTCCACCCATACTATGAGCACTACTTTGAGGGCCTTAAGCATTTTGCATTTGTAGTTTTTGCAACTGTCCCATTGTGAGGAGATAAATGAGTAAGGTTTCAGCTGCTTTTGGGTTCTGATAGCAGACAGAGAGGCAAGTAGGAGTGACCTTGCTGCATTTCTCACCTCTGAGATGGCATTAGAGATGAATCCAAAAGTCCTGAAGTTGGAGGAAAATCAGATTAAGCACCTCATTGAGATATTTCCTATACAGGTCTTTAATATGATTACATAATTCATAACAGAATGTATTATTTACTATTATGTTAGTGAACCAAACTCATCACACATTACCGAAAACTTTCAATGTTCCCTTTCTTTAGAAATTCTGAACCAAGTTTTTTCAGGATTTCCATTTAATGAGAACAAATGCATGGGTAGAGATCCATACTGAGTAGATGTGTGTGTCCTGGTGGCTGTTGAGCAGCAACAATGAACATCCCAGTTATGCAGAAAAGAAAAACTGATAAAGGAAAATAGATCCAGAAAGGATATATAATATGTCAACTCCTTTTCCCATGAGCAAAACCTCATCACCCTGAAGGGATTGGCAGAGTTGGGAGAAAAATTTGCTTCATACCTGGGTTGCACAAACTCTTGGATGGGGACCATTAGAACCAGGCAAGCCAGTATTGGCATGAGGCCTCTTCAGTCAGTAATTCCCACACTGTGTATTGCTCTAAACCCTTTCTGCTTCCACAAGGACCTCTCTGAAGTCACAAATGACTGTTGCAGAAACCATTCCCTTTGTAATTTGCCTGTGTCCTTGTCAGCACCATAATCACCTCTCCATTCTGCCTTCTAAGCAGAGGGGCCACTTCCTGACGTGCCCCCCTTGGACAGACACTTCCACCTTGCTTACAGCAGGCTCACTGTGAAATAAGACATTTCTCACCAGACAGACAAGCTGCCTCGCTTTCATGGGCTACCACACCAACGATTGATACTTTTTTTTGGAGTTAGTGGTAGAGGTTTGGTCTAAGTTGCCTGTAGGTCAGTTCAACACCAAGGAAATTGTCTCACTTTTAATCACTTTGTCTTTAAATCGAGGTTGATGTTTTCTTAGGCAGAAAGTATTGATTTAAATGTGAACTGTAGGGCTTGATTCTGTTAAGCTGCAGAGGAGAAGATAATTTCTGCAGCTGCAGGAGCCAACATTCTAAGTTTACTGCCTTGCTTCACCTGTCAGTTTACAGCAGTCTTGTCTGATCCCCTCCTCTAAAGGGTGTAACATTGCTGTTGAGTTCTGGATGAGAGTAATTACATGCTGTTTTTAGACAGGTAAATGATTTAGGTCATCTTCCTAAGATCCTGAAGTCCAGTATGGGGTTTTTTGTTGTTGGATGGTTGGTCTGTGTGTGTTGGCCTGCCAGGATTTAGTGCATTCTGAATTGATTTGCAAAGCGGGTTTTCTGGTCTTTGGCTCATGCCGGTTGGGAAGGGGAGAGGTAAATGAGCCCCAGCCTTGTCTGCTGAATCAGTTTTGGATGTGTGTGCCAGGTGCCAATATTAGTAAGCACTGCTATCGCAGAAGATATAGGTTAAGAATAGAATTTACTCATCATATTCTTAAATAAGCACATCAAACACAATCTGCTGTATCACCACTGCAGTTTGTGTTAGCTAAGGGCAATACCCAACATCTGATAATAGCACTGGTGCAACCAAATGGAAAACACGGGTATCTCACTGCTCCTAGGAAATGTCAGAATTGTTTGCTGTATTCTCAACATGTTAAGATTATAATTAATTTATTTTTAAATTAATTTTTCTCCCCATTGGTTTAACAGAAGATTCAGTCAGTGGAATTGATAGTAATCCAGGGGTGCTATCCAAATTAGAAAGATGATTTCAGTTAGACTGCTGGTCAGGAGATGGGATATCTCATCTATGGTGGAGCCAAACTGGCTCTGGTTGGCTGTAATTCTGTGTTCCTAGCTGAGCCATTCCAGGGCTGACTGGCTGGTGGGTGGCTGTGAGGAACCAGCCTTCAGGGATAACCTGATGGACTCAGCCCCTAGCGAATGCAAGAGGAGCTGCTGTGCTGCTCAGCTGCAGCTACCAGGGGAAACACAGCCCTGCTTCAGGCACAATCCTCTCTGCAGATACTCATCTCTCCACTGCTCACCCCTGCATTTATCCCTGTGCTGTGCTATTTACTTTTCTCCTTTAGATACAGAAAATGCATTTCAAACGAAACTTTCACATGGTCAGAAGCAAAACACATCTGAGAAGTGTTCCCTCCAGTATAGTTTTACTTTTAGTCATCTTCAGTAACAGAGAGGGAATGACACTGGCGATGACTCTGCAGCACATTTGCTTAATCCTGGTATGGAAGGAGAGGCTCTAGCTAACAGGTTGTTTTTAATGTCATTTCATTTCTAAACAAGCTGCTTATCAGTTTTGAATCATGAGCTTGGAAGAGAACTTGGAGCTTTTGTTAGGCCCAGAATTGTTCACTGGCAAGTTTCTGTTTCCTGGTGAGATAGTGATCCACACATACTGAGGTTACCCAGAACTCAAAAGTCAAATCACATTCTGTCATTCTATTTCAAATTCTTATCTCAGATCAGGATTGTCAAAAAGTCTCCTTTAGTTTACATACAGTTCAGAAAGATACAAGAATAAGGGCTAATTTCTCAGTGTGTCCTTGATCTGATACAGTTTTGTATTGCTCCAAAGAAAACCAGCTTCAAGTGTTTGGTGTTGTAGGTTGGCCACTTTAATTCCAAATTTGCAGGCAGCCTGTAAAGGCGTGTTTTCTTTAATTTCTATTTATTATTTTCCCCCAAAGCCTTTGTCCTTTCAGAACACTACACCTGTACTTGCTTTTTCTTCCAAAGATAATAGTATTCTGGCATCTTTCCAGTATCTAAAATAGAAGTCTCCCTGAGAACCTGCTGCACAGGCTGATAAAATACAATCTTATTTTACCTTCCCACCTTTCAGATGCTGTCCCACACACTCTGTGTGCCTCTTAGTTATGGCTAGATTAAGACATGCTGGGTAGCACTTTGCTAATTGATAAGTCCAGCTAATTTGGACAGAAAAGGGTATTTGTCAAGGTGTGGATCTGAAAGAGCCATGGAAAAGACCATTTATAAATAGAGGAGAGCAATTTAACAACCAGCCAGCCCTGTGTCTCCTTATGTCTACACAGAGTGTGCTTTGACCAGCGTCGTTCTGTGTGACCTTATGGAATGCCTGGGGAAGGTCACTGTGACATCCCTTCCCCTGAAGGGTGAAATGTCACAGCTGCCTTGGTGGTTGAAGCCAGGAAGTGCTTTAGAAGATTCCTTAGTCCTTTTGCTCAAATTCCTCCTCTGGAGATGACTTTGCTTTTATGACCTGCCCTTTCTGTGCCTCTACCTGAAAGGTGTGCTCAGAAGCTGAAATTTCCATAGCGTTTAAGCCCCTTGTGCCCTTTGCTTTCCTGCGTCTCTCCCGGCCTCCAGCGTGGAGCAGGTAGGGCTGGAGCGGGGTGTCCGAGGCAGGGAGCGTAGGCGAGGCAGCAGCGGCTCCGGGGGAGCCACGGGGACCAGCGGGGCCAGCTGCTCAGGTGAGGGCCAGCTCGGTGGGGAGCTGGCAGCCTGGAGGTAGAAGGCAAGGAGGAGAACGTGTGGGTAGGCACTGGAAGAGGAGGGAAAGGGGAAGGAGTGGGGGGGACACGCTAGCAATGAAGGTGGGTGACAGAGAGGGGTGCAACGAGAGCCGAAGAGCCGTGACTGGGGGAGCGAGCCCAGGCAGGTCGGTGGCAGGGGAAGTGGGTCGGGGCAAGGCGGGGATGGAGCGTGCGGAGAGCAGGCGGTGTTTGGGAGGGGAAGTGGGCAGGTGGCCGGGCAGGGCTCGGCAGGTGTGTGTTCCCCAGGAAGTGGGCGCGGGGCCGGAGGAGGGTCAGCGGGCGGGGAAGCGGGCACGGGCTGCGAGGGGCGGCCCCAGCCGGGCCGTGGGGCAGCCCAGGGGCCGCGGGTCCCG